TAGTAGTAGTAGTAGTAGTAGGGTTCTTCTACGCTTCCGCAGGAACGAAGGACCGCAGGCACTGCCAGGTGCAGCAACTGCAAGAAGGGTGCAGGGTCTGCGGCCTGCCAACGGACGGGTTTAGAGCTGAGGAATGGGAAGATTGCAAGCCGGACACCCCTAGGGAATTGTTAGGGGGAAGGGGTTAGAAGCAGCGGTAGCAGTAGTAGCGGTACCAGTGGCATCAATGGAAGTGGTCGTCGCGGGGCAGCATCAACAACGTCTTCGAGATGGCAGCAGATTATGCGCGAGATTGGCAACAAAACAAGAACCAACTGCTATATCAATCCTAAACTGTCAACCGCTCCGTTGTGCCAGCGCAAGGCCCGGGCATCCGGCTGCAGCGAAGATGACAAAAGGCCGGACCATAGTGTCATTGCCTCCCGCAGGTTGAAGAGACGGTTACAATAAACTTTAGATTTGAGAGCTGAAAAATCCAGCTTCCGACCTCGGAGGTTGGATACCTTGGTGACCTAGTCAGATTTCGGAATCCGGGCCAAACTTGTCAAGGCTGCCTCTGGAACCTGCAAAGGTACTTGTCCTGTTTCCAATAAGTTCTCTGTAGGGCTCCGCCGGAGTTGGAAGTCATGGCCCGGACTTCCAGAAAGTGCGGCGAGGTGCAAAAAGCTATCGTGAAGGTTTGAGAGGGAGTGGCGGCTAAGGTAGAGCCCTCGGGTTAGGAATCTTGACCTACGACTCATGATACCGGAAAAACTAGAAAATAAATCCATATTTTGCTCAACACCAAAAAAACTGGTTGAGACTCCTGTAGCTCTGCAGGGCGGACTCTATAGGGCAAGGACTTGGGTTGTTGACTTTGAGGGGTCGGACAAAGGGAACCACTCCCGCGCCTCCTCCCAAGCTCCGCAGCTTTCACAAGCACCCAGCGCTGCGTTGAAGCATATCACCTGCAGTCTTCCAAGTGCTCAGAGTCCAAAAGATTATCCATAAGTCCCAAACAATGGCAAGATCCGCTATATTCCTGCCATTTGCAGATGTCCAGAATCCAGAACCAAGAGCCAGGTTCATCTAAAGGCGCACGTAGTCTGCGCATCTAAGGCGCACAGAAGGCGCACACCGGGTCCCTTTTGGGCTCTTCTTTACGGTGCGGAAGCGACTTACCCTCGTGGAAAAGGAGATGCCAGTAACAGGACAAGAGCCGCCTTGGTTGCTGATGGTCCAGGGTAGTTCCAGGGTTAAACAGCCAGCTACTTGTACAAGCTCCAGCAAAATCGACCTCTTCTTGGAGTTAAGGCTAAGGGGTTTTGGGGGTGGGGGGTGGCGGAAGGGGAGGAGGAGGGAGGGCAGGGCGGGGGGGGGGCAGGGGTAGGGCTGCGGAATCGACAACTTCTTAGTGTTCAGGGGTTAAGGGCAGGGGCAGGGCAGGGGAAGGGCGGCCTGATTTTTACGGCACAGGAGCGACTTACGCGTACACCTTGCATATATTGACGCGTGCACCTTAGATAAATTTGCGCGTGCACCTTAGACGCCGCGCCTGAACCAAGATACGCCTTCTGCGTCGGTTGTGGACTGCGGCTTCTTGCAAGCTGTGTCATCAGATTTAAACCGAGGTGGGATGCGTTGCGAGACTGGGGTTTCCGCCTCAGAAGTCCAGCCGTCTCAGGAGTCCAGCCGCAGGCAAGCCGCGTGACAAAGTGATTCAGAACTACCACTGACTGTCGGGTTTGCTGCCAGGGTTCGTCTGGCAAACACGCCACCTGGCTCATCCTCGGCTGAGATCAACTTTTCGCGAGCCGTCATCACTCGGCTAGAACCCAACGCACCTTCAGCAAGGTTTAGCGTTCGATCTGCAGCTCTGGTTTTTTCCATCCGGGCTTTGATAACTGCATGGCTCCTGAGGTATCGGCTCCAGGAGCAAAAACACGGCCCGCGTCCACTGGAAGCCTGTCAAGATGGATCTAAGCAAGGGTGCGGGGTTTGGGTGCACTCACACTCGGACAATCCAGACCAGGCAATTGAGGCATGTGTCCAGTGTTTCGGGGTTTAGAGGGTAAGGTCGGGCACCTTCCTCATTGTTTGTCCCGAAATCCGGAGAGGGACTTCCTAAAACTCCAGCGCATATCAAGGACGAAGAACTGAGCTGGGCTTGCTTTCAAGAGAAGGAGCTGATGAAGGCTCAGGTCCTCTAGAAAGACACCCGACCCGACATGAATGGCTTGAGACTTCGATGCATGGCCGACGGGCGCTGAGATCCGATGATCTCCCTGCTGCTACCGCTCGAAACTGTTCCGTGGCCGTGGTGAATGGACTGCATGCAGCGCATTGCAAGGAATACCGTTCCTCGGGAACCTGAACACAAAGACCGCGAGCCACCGCCCGAAACAGGCAAGAGGCGCCTTTCTCCAAGGCGCTGATGGCTGCACTGTAGCTCACTACGTCTGGGAGGCATCTGGCCTCCATGTCAAGCAGTCTGCACTAACGGCGCAATGCTGGCACTGCCACTGACAGATTGCCCGGCGCTGTACGGAAGAATGCAGAACGCGCCCTCATGACACCCCTCGTGTTAAATGCTGCTAGCCTTGGACAAGGCACGACCGAGCCAGGTAAGAAAAGGCTGGAAGGTTGCTGCATTTAAGCCTACACAGCCAAAGCTGCGGAGACGAAAATCAAGACTTTGTGTGCAAAATGGTCATTGGTACAAGTAGCTGCCGCGAAATAACTACAAAATCCGACAACCCAGAAACTCTAGGCCCTTTAGCTCAACCCCTATACGGCCCAAAGGCCAAACGAGGGCTACCAGTAGTTGTTCGGGCAGGGCAGACTCCAAGAGACAAGCAATACCCTCGCCGCAAGGAGAGGTGCTCTTGCTCCTTGAAGAAAATGATGCTTTCTGGACTGCGACGGTTGTGGATGCATTGGCTGAACCCACGAGCGCCATTGTTGGTCCCATCGACCTGCTGCTTCAGTCCCTGCAAAACGCCCGCAGCCTCGTGCATTTGGTAGAGAAGCCCCAGAGCAACTTCCTGGGATCTGGGGAATGGGAAGAGCAACGGAGGGCTTGGACTTCGGGTTTTTAGCGGCTTTATCGGCGATCTGGAGTTTAGAGACCTGGGGCTGGGGAGTTAGGGTTGAGGATGCAAGGTTTCTTGGGAATGACCGGCCTGCTCGCCTACTGCAACTGCTCGAGCCTCAGCACGGAGAAGTGTACGATGGCACTAAGCATATAGTAACATAGTATGGAAACAAAGTATGCTATTTTGCTATTACAGACTATACTCAAATATGTAAGATAGGATGCAACAGCTGTCGCTCGGAGGGGGACAGCCGAGCCCCAGTGCAAACATTCACTGCCTTGCCCCTGAAGGACAAGCACCTCAGTTCTGTCCTTCTGTAATTTCTCACGAAGACACAGCGACTGCCTTGCATGCGTGCTCACCTAGTGATAACCAGCAATCCGGAGACGATTGTCTAGCGCTTGAAGAAGTTAGGTCTCGGTGTCTGTCTAGTTTCAAAGATCCCTCCAACAACCTCCCTACTTGAACAAATGTACACCACCTGGGCCCCTATGCCCTACACAACGGACACAGTCTGCCACTCATTACCCAGCTGCCCATCGCGCGCAGGCTTCGCAAGCCTGAGAAGGGCACCCGGGCTTGGGGCTTGGACAGCGGGTGTACCGTGGGTTGGCTTTAAGCTTACGGGACCAGGCTTCCTGACCAGTCGTGGCCAGCTGACTCCTGTCAAACAAACCGTTGTGCAGACCCAGCCAGCCAAGCGCGACCCAATGACCCAGCCAATTAACCACAGGACTTACACAACCGAGAAACAAGGACCCTACTCACTAATCACTCATCACCACTCAGGGTCGCTGAAAAGTGCTCGACTCTAAATCTGCCGAAGGGCCTTTTGCCAAATACACTTAATTACAGCTGCGGATGGTCTCGGGCTTCGAATCCAGCACTACTCCAGACCCTCCGAAACATCTGCAGACCCAAACTTTTCAAACCCATCGCAAACCCGAACCTGAGACCCTCTTACTCCCCAAGCCCTGAGCCCCAAATCCCCGAACCCCCGAATCCCAAAGCCCCTGGCCGGGCTGATGGATCAAAACGCAAATGCCTATCCCCCGGGCCGCCAAACCCTTGAGCTGTACAGCTT